GTATCATGGAATTTAGAAAAGTACATATTTAAGCAAATAATGTTATAAGCTTCCTAAATGTTACATCTACCCTTTCTTCAAAAGAATAGTGTGGAGAAAACACACACACACACCCCTCTTTCAAATACCCTCTTCTTTGTGAGATGCTAGAAAGTGGTAATGAATAAATCAGGCATAATTTCTTTCCAAATTAAAAATTTTAAATGTCAGAGTTCTTGACAAATCATATATTGATCTAAAAAAAAAAAAAAAAAAAGACTCACTGCCTTGGACGATGGAGTAGACCATCAGAATTCTCTTGCCCAGCAAATACTATACCCTGGAGCCACTGGGATACAAGATATCAGATTTTCATCTCCTACATGGCTCCCTAGTAAACAGACTCAACAGAAGTCTCTGACCATACACTTACCTATGCCAGAATTATGCCAGAAAGAATGTGTTACTTAAGCCTTAAATGTCTGTATATCTCATCACCTAATATGCATGCTATTTGCACTGGTCTGTTTAGAAATCTGAGCTATTTAAGAAGCTACACCACTTCAGAAGACATGGTTGTCTACTAGCATGGAGATTTCTTCACTGAACAGCACTCAAATACTGCCTATTCTTACCCTCAATAACCTCCTCTCTCTTTGTTCTGGTTGGGTCATAATTCTTGTTCATGATCTCTGAAGTTGACCCAAATAAGAAACACAGCTTAAGCAAGGATCAGAGTGCCACTACATCATTTGAACAACATCATTCTGAAGTGCAATGTTTTCTATCGAAATGTCAGGTGAAAACATACCTTTCAAAGTTACATCAATAAACAAAATCAGAGAAGGGAGCGTAGAGACAGAAATCACTTCCTTTAACATAATCAATGCAGTCCGATCTGCATCTAAGATACATTTACGCACTTACTGCTTATCGGTAATAAGTAAAAGAGTTAAGTAAGGAAAATTCCCCCTTGCTTAGGTAGCCAGGTGAGCTTACCCTAAAAAAATCTGATCCAGCCTGCCAAAATGTGGTCTCAGGTGAGGTGGCCAGTTAAAACAATTGGACATTGTTTTGGATAACAATGCTTTCTATCTATATCCAAATACAATCTGCAAAGTTAATTTCTGCATCCCTCTACACTCTGCATGTTAGTGTGTATATCCTGTACATCTCCAAGCCCCCACCGAAATGTTCGTAAAATGAAAAAGCACTTATCTACAGGAAACTTATGTGGGTTATCATAACAACACGGAGTACATTTAATTAATCACACTTCCTTCGATATAAATGACCATCTATGGTCACAGAGAGAACAGTAATGAGTACCAATAACACAGCAATAAGAACAATCCAAATGTTATTTTTGTACAACAGAAAGTTTTGATAATTTGAATGCAAATATTTTTTAAAAATAAGACAAAATGTATGCATTCGTGATCTCATCCAAGGATCCGAGATTTTAAAATTCAAATTCTCCTAATATGTGGTCACTCTGTCCTACATTTAAAGTACAAAATATGATCACTTCATACTATATTTAAGGCTCAAGATGAAATGTGTTTATTATACTTAAATAATAAGGAAATTATTTACTTACTTCTGGATACCCTCACAAGTTCTGATACATTGAAGACTCCAGATTTCACAAAACTATCCTCAAGGTATCCTAAAAAGAAACATCAAGAGGAAAACGATCAACATAAGCGGGAAGCAAAATAAATGATTAAATGCTAGAATTTGTTGAAGCACTTTTAAACCAAAGGTTAAAACAAAACTCAAGTATGCTTATAAGAATAAGTAAAAACAAAATTCTTGTGTATACAAACTCAGTTTGTTTAAACAAAAGTAAAAAGTTTAAATGCTAAATCATCGCCTAGGAAATTTTTTCCCCTAACTTTCTAAATGTACAGGGTAATTGGTGTGGTTTTATTTGCCATGGCTCATGCAGAGAGAATGAAGGTTCAGGGGCTCTCATTTGAATGTATTCAACTCACTAGCACCTGGTAGTCTAAAGTCTATCCATTAAAAAAGAAAGAAAGAAAAAGGAAAACCACAACCACAATTAGCACCTTGTTGGAAATACTTCAAAGATCTCTGGAAACCACTGTTCTTTCACAAATCCTTCCCTGATTAAAGAAAAGTGAGCTGCTGTTACCAGCACTCCCACCCTTGTTCCAGGGTCACTAACAACACAAAAGCAGAACTTGTACCTACAGCAAATTCTTTGCACCGACAATTTCCAGGCACCTTTATTACTCTGCATGATTTTAGTGCTTTCCTCACCCTTCCTACTACTCCCTTGGATACTCTTTGCTTTGAGAACCATCTACTTTTTTCTGGCAAATGGTGGTGATTCCAGGCCTCTAGGAATACATCCATGACCTTTACGAGACATCTAGGCACAGGGTCCATCCACAGTGGCCAAGGTCCACAAATCAGGAGCCTTGGTAAACTCAGGCCTAAGTCCAGAACTAGTGAAGACTTCCCCAAAGAGTAGTAATGGCCCCATCTTTGGTTTTCACTGATGACAAGGGGGTATAAAGAGTGTGAGGAGGCAAAGAAACCTTAAGAAAGAAGAACATGATTACTCTCCACTGCTCCAGGAAGAGAAGAGTCTGAAAATCCTTAGGACTGAAAAACTTAAAAAGGATATCTCTAGACTTTAGGAAATGGCAGTTCAACCAGAGCAGATTTATATAAAGCTATGGGGCTGACCATGGGATTAGGTGGGTTCAGGAATGTCAGGCAGGGGTGGTGTGACAATATGGAATGCTCAAGGAGAAGAGCCGAGATCTGAATCCCAGCCATAGACGCCAGTTATGCAATCGTGATCATTAGACCGCTTTGTGCCATTGCTTCCTCATCTAAAATTAGAGACAATAAAATCCCCTACCTCATAAGGTTGTTATGAATTCTAAGTAAGATAAAATATGAAACCCTTAGTAAACACCGCTCAAGTGTTACCCATAAATTAAGATGAGCCAGCAGAGCCAAAAATCAGCCCAACACAGAATTATGCGCACTGGATTCTAGACAGTCCTGAATTATTCGTAAATCCTTATTTAGTAAATTTACCAGAACAGAAGTCACCATCCCGCTACTTAACCATGCAAAGACAGAAAACCATTTAATTAGCTTCACTGCTATTAACTGAGGAGCCAAATGTATGTCTGAACAGTTTCATGTCCCTCATCCACCTTTTCAGACATAGAAGAAAGAGTGAGAAAGAATTGTAAGATCTTGGGGCTGGCAGGTGGCATGGTGATTAAGGTTCTGGATTCTCACATGGTCAACCACAGCGGCAGTCCCAGAACTGGTGACTTGCTTTCTCACTTATTCTCTCTCTCTCTCTCTCTATCTCTCTATCTCTCTCTCACATGCACACATGCTTTCTCTGTTTCTCTCTGGTCAAATAATAATAATGATGATGATGATGATGATAAGTAAAATTAAATAAATATTTGTCAAAAAAAAAGAATGCTGTGATCTCAGTTGGCAGTAAAACTTAAGTGTCACATTAAGTCACTACTCTAAAAAATACATACTTTTGGGGGGGGGAGAGGTTTTTCGCTATAGGGCGCGTGAGCACGCCAGCCAGACAGAGAGAGACAGAGAGACAGAAAGCGAGAAATCACCCCCCAGGGGGGATGGTCACGCCGCAATCCCTTCTCCTCCATTCTCCTCTCAGGATCTTGGGCACGCACGCACACGCGCCCGGCGTGAGTTTTAAGCTACCGGGTCCGGGACACGAACCGCAGTCGACTACGTGGGAGTCCAGCGACATAGCCATTACGCTAACTGCTGGTTCCCAAAAATACATACATTTTTAAGAGAAAAATAACAAAATGTTCCCAGCTGATATACTTCAAGGAAATCTTACTTTTTAAGCAACTCTTTTTCACCAGATTGAGTTCACTGCAGTAATTATTGAGAGACTTGTACATAATCAGCTCTGTATAAGGTACTAAAAGTCATGAATACAAAAATCATGATGTGGACTCTCTTTGTCTGGTTAGGGAAAAAAATGTTTTAATGACCTGGACCACTATAAATTAGCATTGTCTACAAAGATTTTTGTTGCTTTTGTTGTTGTTAAGTATAGTTCATTATATTTTATTTTATATGTGGTAAACTTAACAAAGTAAATCTAGTAAGTATTAAAACCTTATTGATCTTGACTACCACTCTCATACTTAACTGTCAGACAAGCTTACTTGTCATCACCCAGTGTCCTCTATGAAATGCCTGCCTCCTGACTTTCCCACACATCTGCTTCTGGTCCTTTCTATATACCCTTCAATGTTTAGCTCAACGCCCATCCACTCCAGAAACTGCTCCTCCACCCTCTTCTCACACCCCAGAATCAGCCAAACACACTCTCTTCCCTCTGTGTTCACACAGCACCCAGTTAGTACTCATTTTACAGTTTGCACATTCAGATTCTTCAAGATACCTGTTTTCAAGTTTTGTATTCCTTCATGGATTATCAGTCCCTTTATTTAGGAAAGTGGGTTTTGTTTCTCTCTATAGTCCCCTTAAGAGTGAACTCATTGTTTATCTAGAAAGAAACTACTAAGTAAACAGTTTCAGAACAAAATTTTAAAATTCAACTTTTTGTTTGTTTGTTTTTATTGCCAGAGGGCACATGCTTTTATCAGAAAAGGAAAGGGAGTGAAAGCAAGAGCATACTCCACAATGAAGCATGGTCATATTGCAATCCTGTCTTCCATTTCTCCATCCTGTCAGGATTTGGGGCACACCTGCATACATACCCAGTGTTTTTCAAGCCACCACATGTGGGATTCAAATCACAGATGTTTTTCAAGCCACCAGGTGTGGGATTCAAATCACAGTTGGTCATGTGTGATCCACCTTCCTTAACCACTAGATCATGAGACCAACCCCAAATTCAACTATTTTAACACAAGATCACAAATTAACACCTTAGTAATTTTGTAACAATGAACACATAGATAACTTAAGATTGATGGATAGTTATTTTGACTCTTGTCATTCCCTGGAACTCCTTAGCTGAGGAATTTACCTAGATTTTTGAGTAGAATAAAAAAAAATGATTAAGGGCTGATTATATTCCTGATTGTTACATATTAACTTGCAACTTTAGGCATTTAGTATAAATGCCTGAAAAACTAGAAGTGTTTAAATAATAGGAGCTTGGGGCCAGCAAGTGGTGTGGTGGCTAAGGGAGCTGGACTCCCACATGACCTACCATGGTTCAAGTCCCAGACCTGGCAGCTTGTTTTCTCTCTCTCTCCCTCTCTCTCTCTCTCTCTCGGTCTCACTCTGTCCCTTTCTGGTCAAAATAAAATAAATAAAGTTATATAAAATAATTTTAAAAAAATAATAATAGGAGCTTGGGGCCAGCAAGTGGTGTGGTGGCTAAGGGAGCTGGACTCCCACATGACCTACCATGGTTCAAGTCCCAGACCTGGCAGCTTGTTTTCTCTCTCTCTCCCTCTCTCTCTCTCTCTCTCGGTCTCACTCTGTCCCTTTCTGGTCAAAATAAAATAAATAAAGTTATATAAAATAATTTTTAAAAAATAATAAATAAATAAATAGGAGCTGAAAAATACTTGTAAAATAAATAGATGAGTAAGTGACTGAATACATGAATATTTTAATATATTTATACAGATTGCATTGCATGCAATTCTTAGCAACATTTCAACATGTAGATGTGATCTGAACTTTATTTCTTATAGTTCCATAAGTAATTGAAAGCCCATTTGCCTCTAAGTGATAGACATTAGCACAGAGGGATATGCTATGGGTTAAATATTTCCCCAAATTCAAATGTTGGGATTTGTTTGTGACAAGATCAAGAAGATGAAAACTTAATTTGACTATAATGTTGAAAGGTGGAGATTTGGGGAGGAGACTAGGATTAAGATCAATAAGGCAGGGTCCCCATGACTAACTCCTGATGGGTTTAAAAGGAGAGCGAGCGAGACAGAACAGAGACACGCAGGCACGGATGCATGTGCCCCTGTTCTCTACCATGTTGTGATGCAGTCAAAAGACCCTCACTGAATGTGGCCCTGGACCTTAGATGTCACACTATGAGTTACATAGACCTATATCCTCATAGGCTACCCAGACACAGCAATTTTCTGTTATTAGCAATAAAACAGAGTAGGATGGGGTGTGTAGGCCTCCTAGGAGCCAAACCTGAGGGAGGGATGAGCTGCATCAAGGCTAATTGCACCAGTGGGAAGACAGGAGGTCCAACAGAGACAAAACACAATGACTATCTCATAGAAGAGGCCAGGCAGTTCACAATGTAGCTGTGGACTCGCTCCATTCTCCATTTCCAATTCTCCAAGTTCTAAGAATTGAAATCTACAAAGCAAACTGAAAATTATTATACTAAAATTATAAAAAGTGTTGGAATACTTAAGAACTGCTTTGGAACCTACTGGACAAAATGCAATAACATAGGCCCTACTGTGCTCTACTCCTGCATAGTGCATAGTGAGACCTCAGGGGAGGAAGGTTCCTGTGGACAAGCACCTACTGAACAAGGAGCCCCTGCGAGCAGGGAGGAGTGGTGGTCAAGCAAGGGGGTAGGCTGAGAAGCACCTGAAGCAGATGCTGCATCTTCATGCATTTTTGCACACTGCACAGCCTTTGCAATGGACAAGCGTT